AAAAAAGCGAACTACAAGTTTGTTATTTTTTATCAATTGATAATTTTTTCCCGCAGGGTATGGTCGAGCACAACACAGAAATAGGTTCTATATATTTCCTGAACTAGCAGGGTGACTCTGGATTTCGTCCATTCAGGTCGCCTGCTCGTAGAGAAGTCTATAAGAGGCGGCTTGGAAACTAGTCCTTTCCGACCGCCCAGTTGTGGCGGCTCAGGAAATTACACTCTAGACCGCATGTCCTACACGTGATATTTACGGTACTGCTTGGAATCACGTCCATTCCAACAGCATCGAGAATATGTTTAGAGGGAGAATTGCAACAGGTTAACTATATTAAGCTTTAATTTTACTTTTATTAAATATTAGTTTTGCAATAAATACTAAATATACGTGAATATAAATAAATAAACCCTCCTTTTTTCAAAACAACCGTTATGTTCGTACTTGTTGCACTTATCTATTAACAGCTTGACTATTTTTCATCCGATTTTAAAAACCGAACATGTTCCAAAAGGGCATTTATGGAGTGATGTAGTACAATATATTGTTAGACTTAGCTTGTTGGAAGTTTTCATCGGCTAAATTTTTAAAAAGCCCCTATTTTTCTTAATTTTTTCAACTTTAACCATAGTTGATTTCAAAAATTTGTATGAAAGTTGCCAAACATGTAGGATTTAGCTAGAAGAATATTTATTTTCGAATAAATTGGTACCACAACTAATGCAATTGCATAAAAATTGTCGAAGTTACGAAATTTAAGCAAAAATAAGGTCTTGAGTTTATATGTGTGTAGTAAGTATGTACCGGACTTTCAGATTTCCAGAACAATGAAAAATATTTTGGGTTTGGGTTTTCTTGAGAACTGCAGATGGCCCATTATTCTTTGATTCGAATGTATGTATTTATAAAGCAGAAATAAAATTTTCCCCCTCCAAGGAAGCCGAGTTAGTATGATTTGCATTCCGTACAAAAAAGCACCAAGGAATCGAGCCTATGTTTCCAAAAGGCATTCTGGAATGCACAGTAAATATTACCTTCCGGAAATAGATTCCTGTAAATTTAAGTTAATACACTTTTGGCAAATCATTGAAATAAAAACTTAATTAAAGTTGAGTATTAAAAATTTTCCTCCTCCTTAAAAGCACATTTGTATATACATATATGTTTGCTGGGATTTGCACGCATACACACTCGTAGTAGTTGTATTCTGATGGCATCCACTGTGCGTTTTACATTTCATTCACAACATTCATCGAGCGCTGGTTAACTAACGGCTGAAAACGCAACGAAATAATGAATGAAATGCCGGCTGTAGCTTTTCCACCGTGAATTGGTACAAAAACTTATCAACTACTTTTTCCGATATTGCAGTTTTGTAGTAAAAAATAAATAGTTCAACGATTGGCAAAGGCATCACGTCCCAAGACGCCGAATTACACCTACATACATACATATTTACATACATATGTAGGTATGTTTTCACTTTAGTATGGACAAGTTTTGAGTATAATTTCTGTGATGAGCGAACTTTGTCTTTATAGGTATTTTGTTTGGTGTCAATCGAATTACCATAGCAAACCCATACATATTTCCAAATTAATCTTACAAGATCACGAGTTAAGTGACATGCGCTGGTTATTGTCAATCGTTGTGTATGGAAGTGTGTACGACGATATGTATGTATTCTACGCGTAATCGATTCGTTGGTCTCCAGTGTAGAACACCAAATTTGAAGAAGCAACTAATCAACTGGTGCGTTGTGAGTAATCAAATCCGAAAAAAAATAATCGTAATGTTTCCAGTGTGCGGGGGCTAACAGCTGTGAACGTTGGCGTCAAGCATTTAGACGCGCACTCCATATCTGAGAGGTGATAAGTGGTGGTATGCTTTGTTTTTAATTCACTTGTTCACTATTTGGATACTCAGCACAAAATTTGCACCTATTGGATTTATTGCCTAATTAAGCTGGCATATTTCGTAGCAATATATGTAATTGTCTTTAGTTTAGTGAGATCACAACTGTGGGCAACATTTGGGATGTTCACAGTTCATTGAGTTTAGTGTTGACGCCAACATTTTGCAATTTTTTCTAACCGTAATATCTGTGGCGTTGTTGAAGTCAACATTTTCTTATCCATTTTGGAACGAACTGGGAACACCTTAAAATGCATAACTCTTTCTTTTTTTTTTTGGTGTTAGATCATTGACACTGCAGGAAAAACGGTGGATGAGTGCAGGTATTTTTGGCGAATTTTATAAAAATGGAAATTTTTTCAACAGACGAACATGCTTGGATAAATGTAAGGTTGAAAGATAATTTGAAATAAGAAAGAATAAGCAAAAGAATAGAGTGGTTGAAAGATTTTCCCATTTAGTTTGGAAGTTAAGAATTAACGTTATATTGAGTATTATAATAGCATGTTGTTTTCATTTAAATTGGCCATACTTCCGGGCCAGAGTTTCCCAAGCTGTGCTTTTAATGGAAAACTCTTTTAGCTGTGTCCGTCCTTAGAATAACGGAGCAGTTCATCACTTACTAAAATATTTTTTTTGGTGGTAACAAAAATTAAATATGTATGATGTATACAGGCCCATCACAAATTCCGAGTGAACTCCCGTCGTGAAAAAAATCTTCCGTCACGAATTCGGAAGAAATGCTATCAGCAATTCCGACTCATTCGTAGTTAGTGCTGCCTTTGGTTCTTCTTTGTTTTTATGTTTTGGTTTAATAACTCTAAATCAAAATAACCTAACTCGAAATCAGTGATACCATTTCGAATTTGCGGGAGAATTTCGTGATCACGACGGAATTTACGATAGCGATAGCGGATCTCCGACGGAACTGATGGTAGGCCTGATAGTACTTAAAAATATTTTTCTTTTACCTGCAAATTCTTTAAAATCGACTAACAAATTAAAAACCAGAATACGCCTGGGCCGTAATGCGGTAATAATTTAACGAAAACGTGTCGAAAGTCGACTAAGAAGTTTTTAATTCTACTTCGAAAACTCTACGATTATATTTTAGTAAGAACTGGCAGTCTATATACAAAAGAAAAGTAAGTGCGCCTGGGCCACACTGTAGAAGTGAAACTTACGTTACTTATCTATCTATACATACACTTAACTATCATACATATATTTATAGTTATATTTTTTCGCTTTTTTTTTTATCAATGTAGATCCCTCTACCACTGTTCGTTTTAATAACATGTTATTCTGTTTTTCCATTATCTTCATTTTTATCTTCATACTCTATCGATATAGCGTCCATCAAAATATCGAAAACAAAATCGATGACAAATTCGATAAAAATTTCAATAGCATCGATAATACCATTGGTAGCTAAATCGATTAGAAATCGATAAATATCGCTAACAAAATTGATAACAAAATCGTTAAATATCGATAACAAAAACAAAATCGATAAATATCGATAACAAAATCGATAAATATCGATAACAAAATCGATAAATATCGATAACCAAATCGATAAATATCGATAACAAAATCGATTTATATCGATACCAGAATCGATAAGAATCGATAACAAAATCGATAAATACGGATAACAAAATCTATAAACATCGCCAACGAAGACGATAAATATCGAGAACAAAATCGATAAGAATCGATAACAAAATCGATTATTATCGATAACAAAATCGA